GGGGGGGGGGGGCAGATCTCTCCGGGTGTTAGTCTAGTGACATGGACGTCATTTGGGTAGGGCATTCCCCTCCCCCCCCCCAATTTGAAAGTTTTATTTAAATTGCTATGTAGGCCTACTGTGGCGCCTCCAGTAATAAACCTATACAAGACGACCAAGTTTTGGTTCCTCCCCCCACCCCCCTTGAAATGACGCGATCGTCTATAACATTAGTCCTGAATGCTCTTTGATGGTATTTTATTGATGACAAGGTTTCAGAGTTGAGGAGGCGTAAAAATGGCTCTTATCCCGGGCGCCAAATATTCTAGCTACTCCTCTGTTTCTTCAGAAATGTATTAGTTTTAATTTAAGAAGAAGTAGAGGTCAGTAGCGTACATAGTAGATAGAATAGTGGTGACAGACCCTGGCACCTGGATGGAGTTTTTGTGGTTTATTTGGGCGCATTTGTGGAGATTTGTGAAGATCGCCCTTGCGACAATTCTCTGAGCGGGGAGACAACTTGGAATTATCTGCCAGTGAACGTTTCTTTGGAAGTTATCTTTACGACTTTACGTTGTGCTGCAGTGATTCTTTCCGAGACAAAGAATTCATAAATCAACAAGAAAAACGAATACAAAAAGACAAACTGACTTACGTACGGATAACATGAACACAGAATTAAACAATAAAATAAGAAGATTAAAATTTAATTTTTAATAGGACTAATTTCGAAAATTGGCAGACATTACAGTTTGTTTAGTTTTAAAGACAGTAAGGAAGACACAGACACTTATTGACTTATTGGTTTATTTGGAAAAGATTTTTTTAGGACATTTTCGGATGTAAAATTAAAAATGATAATAGAAATACAGAATCGATAACCTTAGCTAGGAATCTAAAAAACAACTGAAATGACAAATCTCTACGCTCACATCCATGTTTCCTGTTCTTTGAGGGCAGGGTTATTATTAATATTTTAGCTGGTGTTATTGGTATGTGTACCCGCATATGTCAACAATTTTTTTTTAATAAAACAATGACATACTTATATGTTAATAGGGCAAATAAAAAAACAAGTTTCTGCATTGTATTTAAAACTCAGTTTCAATTAAGGCGCCACACAATTTTATCCCCTCCCTCACTCTGTAACAAATCCGCCATAAATCTCAGCGCCCCCTCCCCACCAAAGTAAATCATACTTTCAATTTAAATTTTTTTTAAAAATAAATATTTAATCTAAAACACACTTTACAAGTATTATTAAATTTATAAAAGTGACATCTTCTATCAGAACACATCTATCACAACAGAAAGTCAAACATCGCTGTCAAACATGCATGATGTTTTTAAAATATGTGATGTCACACAAGATCCCCATTCCCCTTACAAACTGTCACACCGTTTTTCGGGAGCGTGACATACTTTATGGACTGCCCATTTACGAGAAATACTTATATTAATTTTTTGGCTAAAATTGCAGCAGGAAGATGACATCACAGAAGACAATTACTCGCATGGAGATAACTCAGGTCCAGCATACATATTTCCTATTGCAATCCACGAAACATTGAAACCACGGTCTCGTGCCTTGCAATGGAAATTAGCGTTGCAGTGGTTGACAGAGAGGAGACTGCTCAATACAGATTCAGACTTTTGAAAGTACAAGGCGTTGGCGAACACGGTTGGAACCTCATGAAACCGTTTGGGGAACTCGACATGGACATCAGTTTCCCCTATTTTACATTCAAAGACACCCATCTGGAAGTTTGGTGATGGTAGGATGGGTTCAGTGTTGGCAAGCTTGTGGAGTTCATTCTCCAGGGACTCAATCTTCTTCTCAAGGGCTGTCACGTTGACCCATGACCCCGTCAGGTTTTCCAACACGTCAACGCGGTCCTGCAGCGATGCGATGTGTTTTGCAAGCTCCACAGGAGTAGCATTTAAACCACTGACCACAACTTCACGGACCATTGAAATGGGGTGAAAATTTCTATTCAGTGCAAACACCTCACACATGTAACTCCCCGTCTGCTCCTCCACCGGAATTTTCCAAGAAATCTGGAGGTAGCCGACTTCATCTGGGTTCGGGGATTTCTCAGTGTTGCCCTCCGCATAAAACCGATCTTCCGGTTGGGTGATGTCAAGGTCACCGAAGGGCGTGACATTGCCAATCGTGTCGTTTTGTTTGGTCGTAGCGTTCCACTGGGATATGACTATGGACATCACATGAGTAATGTTGATGGTGGTAAAGGAGGCCGTCTCATTGATGGAACCGGGGGAACCCGCAGGCGCATTTCGGTGGACACCGCAGCGAAGGGTGAGCCTCCTGGAAAGCCCCAGGTGAACAGTGGTTGGCGTCGCGTCGAAGCTGACCCAGGTAGCTGTTGAGAAGAATTGAGAGATACTTACAACTGTCAATATTACAAAGGAAATGTAGGTTTTGAAGGACCATATAAGGGTGGATTCAAACAGATGAACACAAACAACAAAACAAGCATACTTAGACTTATTATAATGCAGAAAGCCTATTTGGGTTTAAGGAAGCACCCTATGTTAGTAACTATAATTCTTCCATAACACTGAGATCAAACACTTCCTGAAAATACAGTTCCACTCCGAAATTTAGACAATTTTATATTAACCATATTCTAATTTATTTTGTAAATACTAAATATTGGTACCGGGTACCAGTTAGCTAAAATGAATTTTCTTATAATTAACAATTTATACAGTTGAAGGTAACTTACAAAATGAAAGGCCACAGAGGCTAATCACCAAACAACAAATGAAAGCAGGAGAGGCCATTTTGGTCTTGCCAAAGATTGGTGTGCTGGACTCCAGATCTGTGGGAGCACAAAATGCAGTTAAAAGATAAGCAAATGGCACCAATTGAAATCTCTCTCTTATTATCTCCAGATATGAATGTAGCAAGATGTCAATGAGTGCATTAGTCCTTATTTTTTTTTTACAGCTAATTTAATACCAATTTTATTTGACCTAATAATAAATTGAGATGTTGGACAGTCCAAAGCTATTGACATAATTTGGAAGTAGTTGTAGTGAAGAGATTTAAAGCCTGTGTTTTCAAAGAGAGACAACTCCTGAAGCTGGAATTGAAAATATTCAGATATTTAACATAGTGTCAAAAAGTTTATGCAGCTTCTTCTAGTTCTAATCTTTCTTGTACCGGTGCAATTTGTTTAGCTTTGCTTATTGCACAAATATTGGACTAATTATTATGGGAATTATACATTAATAATTGATTGATTTGATCATTAAGTTAAAATTAAATCCTGTTGGTCTAGGAAATGGCTGCAAATCATTGCCTGGTGTGGTCAAGTGCTTTTTACACGACCAGGCTTTCATACTTTCAATGGATTTAAATACTTGATACCTTTTTTGGTAAAACATCATGGCATTATACTTGATCAAACTGAACTAACTATACAATTGATTATTAACCCAATACCTCACTTAAAAGTTGCTATGATTTTATGAGCTAAAGTTTAATACTTGGAATTCTATGTCTTATTCTAGGGCATGTGGACCGCAATGTGTGACACCCTCAAAGATGGCCCTGTTGAGCCCCGATTCTTAAAATTAATCAATAAACTACTAGTTAAGAGTACCACCAGATCAAGTTTCACAAGAGTACACAAGGTGGTGTCACAAGCGTCTCCAGCATTCTGTAAATAAAAAGATGAAAACCTAAGTCACATTAATCCATCCAAAATGAGTCAACACAGTAGAATTTAACATAATTAAAGGAAGTTCCTTTTCCCACTAATTTTTGTAGTAAATAAATTATGTTTACTTACATAAATAGGTGTGATATTTTTGCTATGAATGTTGATGACTCTTTCCAGTAGTATTTGACTGGCTTCTCCCCAAGAGCCTTGGTCCAGTTCTCTGATCATGTTCATTGATTGATGTTCTTCATTTATAACGCATATTCAATAAGTGTGTTAGTCTGTCCAGAAGTACTGGACAAGACAGCGTCAACAGAGAAAGCAACTGGGCACGCAACTGGGCACGCTATTTTAAGTACCCGTTACAAGAGAAACAATATAAATAGGGGAGCCTACTTTAACGATACAGCATAAACAAATCGATGAAGCAAATCAAAAGTATTGTGATAGCAGAATATGTTATTCGAGTCCTTTATTTTATATGTGGAGATTGAATTGATGTTTATTTTGGGGTGACAGTATATGTTGGCTCAATCATGTTTTTAGAAGAAATGCCTTTTTAAAGTAACCCCGTCAATAATAAGTCACGACTAACGGTGTTACAAACATAAAGAAGAAAACAATGAAATACGACGGGACACAAAAATGATTGTCTTAAGGCAGAAACTTGTTGAGCTCAATCAAATATCTGTTGGTACGTATGGTTTTTGATTCATAGCCTCTAATACACGGGGATCGATCAAAATCATTTTCTTGGCCATCGTTAAAACCCTAAGACACCTTTAAGGACGCTTACAATAGGCCCGAGTGACGCTCCTATGAAACCGCCTTGTTGGAGAATTTGCTTACGCTTTTTGATTGATAGCCTCTTTTTGGTGAGTTGTCTTAGACTTGCTTTGTGTCGCTGCAACCGTCTCTTCTGAGCGAGTGTAAGTGGCACGTTACCTTTTAAAACATTGTGACAACATTCACATAAAGTTTGTATGAGTTGAGGGGACGCGTTTTTGACTATGGTCTTTGCCAGTGAAGGATTAGCCCGACACATGAACCGTAACATTTCTCCTTGTTTTTTAACGCGTTCTGACATGACTTTATTTGGGTACGTACACAACTTGATGTTCGTCAGGAAATATACAACTGCGTAATCTCAGCTGATCATGACTTATTGTTCTTTGTTCTTTATTTTTCCCAAATAGGTTTTGAACAATGTACAAAACACTGATGTCACGATGGTGACTACCTTTGGTAAACAATTTGGTAATTCTATCATCTGTTTCGGCCATCAAGTCGTCTATGACAACTAGCCTGCGTTTTTTCCTATCCGCGAACGCACCTTGGTCAAAGTCAGGAAGTCCTTCGACAAACTGGACACCTTTCATGGTCTCGTATATCGGTTGCCATTCTCCGTAACACCATATAATCTCCTCTGGGGTGGGGGCGACCATTTGAGGTAGATGGGCCAACAGCTTGTTTACAAACACCGTCTTACCGCTACCCGTTGGACCGGCGATAAGAGCCGTAAAGGGATGTTTCCACATAGGATCCATCCTTAGTAATGTTAAAATTGTTCCATTATGACTCTATCTTATAATGTTTATATTTTCGCTTTCAGAAACAATGGTCTCAATCACTTCGATCGTCGTAATCCGCCTGAGAGCTGCCTTGGAGGTGGACCGATTCAGCTTTTGTACCGGTTGCCGGGAGGAGCAGGGCAATCAACTGGGTCATTCGTGCGTAATGGCCCAGAATTTGGAGGACCTGGTGGCGGATCAGGGGGAGGCGGCCATGTCAGCCCTGGTGCGGAAGGAGGAGTGGCAGGCGATGTTTGGCCATAAAGTCATTAGACTCCTGGCCCGGGTCGAACGTCGCCGAGCCCGTCGGCGCCGGACTTCGCCGTCGTCATCCGGCGACGAGGTGGGGGCGGAGGCCACCCCACCTCCAAGTCCGACGCGGCCCACTCCTCCCCCCAACCCCGAGTCCCCAGATCAAGCTGACTCGGACTCGTACGTAACAAGGGAACCATGACGTCACCCACAGGTCTTGCTGCTACCAAATCACAATAGACGAATACATTTCGTGCTGCCCTGAAGGCGGACCACTTCCAGTTTTGTACTGGCTGCCTCCGGGAAGAGGGTAACCAGCTGGGTCATTCGTGTATAATGGCCCGGCATTTCGACGAGTTGGTGGCGGACCAGGGGGAGGCGGCCAAGTCAGCCTTAATAACAAGGGAGGAGTGGCAGGCGATGTTCGGTCATAAAGTAATCAGACGGTTGGCCCAGCTCGAACGAATTAACATAGATATTTTTGAATATATTATCACCCCAAAGTTAAGAGGAGGAAATACGTTTAGGGAAAAGCTTTAATCTGTTATTTTTTAAAAACCATTTTATGCACATTAATAATATAGATAGGGCAGCCCATGTCTTCTCATGTTCTAAATGTGGTAAGTTATGGCGGGAATTTAACCTCTTGGATAGACATGAGAAGACGTGTACTGTGGGTAAATCAATAGATAAATATAAGGGGGGTGTATATGCCACAACTCGTACCATTTGGGACATCCTCATTGCCGCAGGAATAGATGTAGACCTTTCCTTTGGCTATCCTTACCGGGCCACTTAGGATTTCGAGTGTTACTTTGAAAAAAAACAATCTTCCCCCTGTAGGTAGCATAACAAAGATTTTAGGGAAACATGTGCCGTTGTCGTGCTCCATAGCTTCCAAAGTTCCCGGACATGAGGGTCCCTTCTGCTTCGTTTCGACAGGACACAATCAAGAATTAGTAACGTAGTTAAAACCAACTTCATCACATTAGTGAAGGAGCTTTTCAACTCTTGAAAAGGCAGTTCAATGATGTTCGTCGAAAATTAAAGCTAATGGAGAGGGGGACCCCCCTCTCCTTAAAAGGTTAAATGAATATTTAATGCAACTACCCGTGATAGGCTTTTAATTCGGGGAAATATGATATTAATTTAATAAAACCCTACTTAATCGCACATTTTGTTGTACCGTACCTTCAGTGACAGTCCAAAACGGGGTAGAGGATGACAACAACGAAAGACCTTTAGTAGCGACAGACGAAAATGTGTTAGAGTATGAAGGGGGGACAACTGGTAATTTTTATGATGCCGTATGGTCTCGTATATCGATTGCCATTCTCCGTAACACCATATAATCTCCTCTGGGGTGGGGACAATCATTTGTGGTAGATGTACCAACAGCTTGTTTACAAACAGTCTTACCGCTGCCCGTTGCACCGGCGATAAGAGCCGTAAAGGGATGTTTCCACATAGGATCCATCCTTAGTAATGTTAAAATTGTGCCATTATGACTCTATCTAATAATGTTTATATTTTCGCTTTCAGAAACCATGGTGTCGATCTCAAGTATTGTGACTCGAAGACTTCGAGCTGCCCTGGAGGCGGACCGCTTTGAATTTTGTACGGGGTGCCGGCAGGAGCAGGGGAATCAACTGGGTCATTCGTGCGTGATGGCCCAGAATTTCGAGGACCTGGTGGCGGATCAGGGGGAGGCGGCCATGTCAGCCCTGGTGCGGAAGGAGGAGTGGCAGGCGATGTTTGGCCATAAAGTCATTAGACTCCTGGCCCGGGTCGAACGTCGCCGAGCCCGTCGGCGCCGGACTTCGCCGTCGTCATCCGGCGACGAGGTGGGGGCGGAGGCCACCCCACCTCCAAGTCCGACGCGGCCCACTCCTCCCCCCAACCCCGAGTCCCCAGATCAAGCTGACTCGGACTCGTACGTAACAAGGGAACCATGACGTCACCCACAGGTCTTGCTGCTACCAAATCACAATAGACGAATACATTTTGTGCTGCCCTGAAGGCGGACCACTTCCAGTTTTGTACTGGCTGCCTCCGGGAAGAGGGTAACCAGCTGGGTCATTCGTGTATAATGGCCCGGCATTTCGACGAGTTGGTGGCGGACCAGGGGGAGGCGGCCAAGTCAGCCTTAATAACAAGGGAGGAGTGGCAGGCGATGTTCGGTCATAAAGTAATCAGACGGTTGGCCCAGCTCGAACGAATTAACATAGATATTTTTGAATATATTATCACCCCAAAGTTAAGAGGAGGAAATACGTTTAGGGAAAAGCTTTAATCTGTTATTTTTTAAAAACCATTTTATGCACATTAATAATATAGATAGGGCAGCCCATGTCTTCTCATGTTCTAAATGTGGTAAGTTATGGCGGGAATTTAACCTCTTGGATAGACATGAGAAGACGTGTACTGTGGGTAAATCAATAGATAAATATAAGGGGGGTGTATATGCCACAACTCGTACCATTTGGGACATCCTCATTGCCGCAGGAATAGATGTAGACCTTTCCTTTGGCTATCCTTACCGGGCCACTTAGGATTTCGAGTGTTACTTTGAAAAAAAACAATCTTCCCCCTGTAGGTAGCATAACAAAGATTTTAGGGAAACATGTGCCGTTGTCGTGCTCCATAGCTTCCAAAGTTCCCGGACATGAGGGTCCCTTCTGCTTCGTTTCGACAGGACACAATCAAGAATTAGTAACGTAGTTAAAACCAACTTCATCACATTAGTGAAGGAGCTTTTCAACTCTTGAAAAGGCAGTTCAATGATGTTCGTCGAAAATTAAAGCTAATGGAGAGGGGGACCCCCCTCTCCTTAAAAGGTTAAATGAATATTTAATGCAACTACCCGTGATAGGCTTTTAATTCGGGGAAATATGATATTAATTTAATAAAACCCTACTTAATCGCACATTTTGTTGTACCGTACCTTCAGTGACAGTCCAAAACGGGGTAGAGGATGACAACAACGAAAGACCTTTAGTAGCGACAGACGAAAATGTGTTAGAGTATGAAGGGGGGACAACTGGTAATTTTTATGATGCCGTATGGTCTCGTATATCGATTGCCATTCTCCGTAACACCATATAATCTCCTCTGGGGTGGGGACAATCATTTGTGGTAGATGTACCAACAGCTTGTTTACAAACAGTCTTACCGCTGCCCGTTGCACCGGCGATAAGAGCCGTAAAGGGATGTTTCCACATAGGATCCATCCTTAGTAATGTTAAAATTGTGCCATTATGACTCTATCTAATAATGTTTATATTTTCGCTTTCAGAAACCATGGTGTCGATCTCAAGTATTGTGACTCGAAGACTTCGAGCTGCCCTGGAGGCGGACCGCTTTGAATTTTGTACGGGGTGCCGGCAGGAGCAGGGGAATCAACTGGGTCATTCGTGCGTGATGGCCCAGAATTTCGAGGACCTGGTGGCGGATCAGGGGGAGGCGGCCATGTCAGCCCTGGTGCGGAAGGAGGAGTGGCAGGCGATGTTTGGCCATAAAGTCATTAGACTCCTGGCCCGGGTCGAACGTCGCCGAGCCCGTCGGCGCCGGACTTCGCCGTCGTCATCCGGCGACGAGGTGGGGGCGGAGGCCACCCCACCTCCAAGTCCGACGCGGCCCACTCCTCCCCCCAACCCCGAGTCCCCAGATCAAGCTGACTCGGACTCGTACGTAACAAGGGAACCATGACGTCACCCACAGGTCTTGCTGCTACCAAATCACAATAGACGAATACATTTTGTGCTGCCCTGAAGGCGGACCACTTCCAGTTTTGTACTGGCTGCCTCCGGGAAGAGGGTAACCAGCTGGGTCATTCGTGTATAATGGCCCGGCATTTCGACGAGTTGGTGGCGGACCAGGGGGAGGCGGCCAAGTCAGCCTTAATAACAAGGGAGGAGTGGCAGGCGATGTTCGGTCATAAAGTAATCAGACGGTTGGCCCAGCTCGAACGAATTAACATAGATATTTTTGAATATATTATCACCCCAAAGTTAAGAGGAGGAAATACGTTTAGGGAAAAGCTTTAATCTGTTATTTTTTAAAAACCATTTTATGCACATTAATAATATAGATAGGGCAGCCCATGTCTTCTCATGTTCTAAATGTGGTAAGTTATGGCGGGAATTTAACCTCTTGGATAGACATGAGAAGACGTGTACTGTGGGTAAATCAATAGATAAATATAAGGGGGGTGTATATGCCACAACTCGTACCATTTGGGACATCCTCATTGCCGCAGGAATAGATGTAGACCTTTCCTTTGGCTATCCTTACCGGGCCACTTAGGATTTCGAGTGTTACTTTGAAAAAAAACAA